GAATTGCATGAGGGAAATTCTGCCTTAGCAGCTCTTGCCTGAAGTGTGCTCTCTGCGTTGGGACAAAGAACTATTTGTCAACAGAGGCTGTTTCATATAAAAATCATATTTTCGAGTGGGTTTCATTTTGGAGGCCCTTCTTTCCCCACGTCCTTTCCCGCTGCTGGCTGCCTGCTGCCTTCTCACTCTTCTCTGGCTGCGCTGGGCCAATCGGACTGAAAAACAATGCAGCAAAACATCTTCTGCTGGAGTAATGACCTGACTCTTCCTTCTAAGCTCGACAGTACCAAGGGAGTGAGCATACTCTGAGGAGAGAAGAGGAGAGGGTTGGTTTGATTTTTGCTTTAGCGTTGCTTCAGACTTCGGTTTCTCCAAGTTCATGGCTGAATCCAAATGCTGTGCTGGTGCTGGTGGGGGTTGCTTGGTTTCATCTTTGCAAGTTGAGCCTAAGTTTGGAAGAGCTCAGGTTTAGACCTTCTAGTTCTTCACGGAAGTGAGAGGTCTCATTCTGCGGTGCCTTGTGCTTTCTATTTTTTGGGGCATAGTGACAGCAAAATGCCACTTGCTCTTCAGATTGATAGGATGCAACAGCACCTAAAAATACCGTTTTTGTGAGCGTTTTCCTTGGCTGGTGGAGAGAAGTCGGGAAGGCTCTGTGCTGGGACAAGAGCTATACTAGAAGCACATCAAAGTGTGAGGGGAAATGCAATCAATCTGCATCCACTTCCAGAGTCTGTCTGAGGCGGTGGAAAGGAGTAAGGCGAATCTGATGAACACCAAGGCAATTTCAGTCCACCATTGTAGGTTCTCCCCATGGGTTGTCCTTGCCTTGAGCAAAGAAGGTGGAGCTGGGACCGTGTTAGGCCTTTTTCACCTCTCACACAACATTTCCTCAAGTTGGAGGCTACCTTTGGATTGGGTAAGGATTTCAGCGTGCTGGACAAAGCAGGGCGCATTGAGAAGGGACAATAGACAGGAAGACCTCTGAACTCTCTGGTCTGGATGTTAGCCCTACCCCATGATGGGCAAGAAGATGGCTGACTTTTGTCCTCTGAGTCTGTCCTTCGGACTTTTTCAAGAGTGAGACTCCGAAGCTGACCAAGCAACGTGCTCTGAGGATTAATTTTAAATTAGCCAAAACCAAATTACTTAGTGAAGCCTCATTTCTCAAGGGGGAGTGTTGGTGCTGTAAGGCTTGAACAGGGCCTCACTGTGGCTGCACTGACTTCTGTCAGCTTTATGAGTGGGCCATGAAATTAACCATTTAACCATGTAATGACTTGTTTTTAATTTAATCTTCCAAAGCAGCTATTTATGCAAAAGCATTAGGAGCGCCGGGATTTCTAATGCAGCATTCCTTTGGCTGGTTTCCTGCCCAGCTGTTGTCCTCTCCAGCCCCTGGCTGGGCAGTGATGTGGCCTACAGCTGTGCGGAGGTCAGACCTGCAGCTCTGCAATGGCCACCTCAGCCCGCTCTGCTCTTCAGGGAGCTGGGGCCAGCCATCACCTGTGACCGTCCGGCTTCTGGCTTGCTTCAGCCCAGTGTCAGCCCAGCTGCTATCACAGCCATCAGGAGCATTATCTCTGGACCTTGTGTCTGATGAGGCCATCATGGGGCAGGAGCACTTACTGGAAAATGATTTATACTAATTAGGTGGCTTGAGAGTTTCTTGTGGAACAGTAGGAGGGAAGACACAGAGGTCAGTTGTCTTTATTCTCCAAAAAGCCATCGTCACCTGATGAAGATTCAACTGCCTTAGGTTTTGAAGAGGATGTTTCATGCTGCTTCAGGCAAAGCGGGGAGTGAAGACTTCAGTCTTGTGACCTTTGTTCTCTAAAGAGCGTGTCAAGTTTTGGCTGTGCTACTGGCCTTGACTTTTAATTGTTGAAGAGGATGTGAGCTCAGCCCCAAGCCTTTGTGCTGTGGCTTACCCTGGTGAGAGAGGGGAAGTGCCGTGCTTCTCTGCACACCGCTGTCACGATTTAATTAGAAAAAAACATAAATTTAATTAGAAAAAAACATAACCACCCCACCCCACCCCCCAAAAAATAATGAGCTACTTCTTAACAGCAAAAATTAAAACAAAATAAGAAAAATACTGCTATTAGGGATGGGAAACCTGATGATATCAATAGCTGTGTTTTCACGCAGAGTGTTACACCATGATGCAATAGGGGTTTGCGCTTAATTTAGGTTGTTTTCAGCATAAATTTCATCCCCATATGATGGGCCAAAACCCGTTTGACTTCCTCAGTGATGGCACGTGCTTGTGAGGTATCAGAATTTGGCTTGACAGAGCTGCCTAATCCCCCCTCGTGTCTCAAAACCAGTTCTCACCCTGCTGTGATCCAGCTGAAGCTGGTGCACCAGGTGCTGCAGAGGGAGCACACAGTGGGATGGGTTTATGAATGGCCAGCACAACTATCCCACTAGGATTTTGGGAAAAAGATCTTGTTCTGTAGGTAGATCAATTCTCAGCTCTGAGAGGCATTACTCTACCTTGCTGCCTGCCCATTATGTGTTACTCTGGTGGGGGAAAGAGACCCATGGTGGTCTGCAGTCTCCTTTAGAGGCATGTCTATAAATGAGGTGCCCTGTGGACCGTGTAAGGCCATCCACTCTTACTCCATACCTCTTCATCATGCCATTCTCTGATTACCTGGCATCCTTCCCTTGCCCCTTGCACGGTGTTTGCAAGGAGAACCTTGAAAGGTACCTACCCATGCTTCCCTGTCTTTTTTAGACAGCACAAGTGATTTATGGCCTTTTTATGCCTCTTTGGCCTTTATACTTGACATAAAAGTGCTAAAGTATGACTCAAAATTTCTACGCTTCTCTGCAGAAAAGAGCAAGGCCTAGGAGGTGCTTTCTCCTTTTTGCCCCAGCATGAGCACCTCTCACTCATGGTGGTGGGCAGTCATTTCTTGGCTGACCTCGCCAAGGATAGTCCCCGAAGTGTTGACTAGTTACTATCTTGGTTTCAGGGTTGCTGAGATATGTCCTGCGAGTAACCGCACACAGGAACTATCTTTTTTCTTGACAAATGTCTCCTTACAACCTTGCTGCTTATGTGGGTTATGTGATTTCCAAGCTGGCCTGGAGCCTAGAAGTGAACTCATAGACCTTAAAGAGCAATAAGTGCTGCAGTGTTTTAACCATCCCAGCCAAACTGTGTGTCTGTGTGTGTGTGTGTGCACGTGTGAAAGCACTTTCCAGTAGACCGGCTATCTGGAATGATAACCCACCTGGCCTAGCTCCATTCAGTAGTGGTATCAGCTGCAATTGTCTGGTTCTATCGAAAAACCCAAGCCAAGCAAAGATATTTCCTCCTGAAAATAGCCTGTTTTCAACTGCACAAATGTCACCTGTAGGTATGAGTGAGTAGAACAAGTCTTTCTCAGACTTAACTTTGTGTGACAAGTGAAGGAACTGCTGGGAAAGCCCAGGTGATCAACCCACCTCTGAGATCAGCTCCCCTCATTCCTTTTCCAGGTGCTGCCATCTTTGCAAGTGGGACTTGAAGACAGTGAATATGCTTGTGGTGGATTTAGAGGTTGTCTAAGCAAAGCCTTTAACCTGTGGGTTGGAAACAGAGTCTGTTCTTTTATACTTACATTGCACTCACCTATAATTGGCTCTGAAGAGGCTGGGCTGGCTCCTTTGAGAAAGCAAGGAACTTGTAAAGGTGTTGAATCGTTCTAGTACGAGCTGAAGGGAGCTGTGAGTGCTTCACAAGCCCATTAGGAGTGAAAAGGCTGTCTTATGGTACCAAAGCAGTTTTGTATCTGGCTAGAGCCCAAGAGCGAGGCAGGAGAGAAAGGCAAGTTTATGCATTTGCACTTTACGAAGGTCTGTTAGAGCTTCAGATCATAGGATTGATGAAGGCTTTGATCTGGGGTCGTCCTTATTCTGTAGTGTCTGCCATCATTGCTCT